ACCGAAAATAAGAAATTTACAGAATTATGATACTCAGGATTAAGGATTGCAAAAGAATTGTAATTGTTTACTAATACTTTTTGATACAGGTTGGTTCTTGTGCTCAAAATTTGAATTGTGGAAACAGCATAAAATAGAAATGTTCATGTTGGCTGGGGAAATGATCTTCTTTGTTCTGATAAATCTGTTCACATCTTTGGATATCAGAGTTATAAGTTCATATCCTATGCAAGAAATAAAATGAAAATAATAAATACTTTTATGACATTTTCCATTGAAATTTCAGCATACTTTATATAATAACTTACATATTTCAAGAACCCTGACAGTAAAACAGTTTAATGAATCTAAAAATAAAAGAAACACAAAAAAGGTACACAGACATTTAGCAACACATCTTGATCCAGAAATATTACATGGATAACAAATTATGTCATTATGACCAGGTGTGCCCAGGAATAATAGCCTTATATTTGCATCAGGGTGAGGTACAAGCTGTGGTCAGCGGCCTCATTTAGATCAGGGTAAAGATATAGCCAATCTAATCACTGAAAATGTTTTCCTCTTACACCTCAATATTGTAATGTTTAATTTAGAACTTGTGTGGAACAAGAGTTTGAGACTTAAGATGTGTTGATAGAATTAAACACTGGCTATAGGTGTGCAGTGGTTGTGTAAGTTTTCAAAGAGACAATGCTTGTAATATTTCATCTGATATGAGACTTGAAAATAAGCTGGGGCATGTGCCTGCCAGGTAATTATTGTGGAAGTAAGAAAGCAATGAAGATAAAATCTTACACGTAACAATTAACATTTTAATGTGCAGCAGGTGAGCAATTTATCTGAAGTCGAAGGGAGAGTGTACCAGGGTACACTGACTTTTCTGTATGTGTCCATGTTATTTCTCATTTCACTTTTTACCAGTAGGTGAGATGTTGCTTAATACTTGTATTTTAAATTTAAGCTCATTTTTTGGGTAATGCCAACATTCTCGTTGAATGCTGTGTGCCCTGAAACAGTATCTAAACTTGCCTATCACAGCTATCTGACTTAACCCAATAGCTTTGTTATCTGTATGTCTGCTTTATCTAGAAATGATTGCTTTATGGCCAAGACAGCCAGACTGAGTGAAAGTAATACACAAATAAGTGGACAGAATACCATAAAAAATCACACCTAACTGCAGATGATTATTTTATGACCAAGAAGGCAAGACTTGCTGGAAAGATTGTCTGAATGTTCAAGTAAAGTTGATTACAGGGAAGGAGAGAAATACAATAGAAAGGCACTATCAGAATACTCAATTAGGACTGGAATGGCCAGCCATTATGATTTTTGGCAAATTACTAGTATCCTGAAAAGGTGCAAAAACTGACAGCTTGTAGGTACTGTGTGTCTCTTGACCAGGACTATCACTCAAATGTGGAAGGATACAGGTGATGTCAAAATATAGCAGACAACTCCTAACACCTATAGATGGTTTGCTTACTCAAGTAAAGCACCTGTTTAATCCCCCCCCCCCCCCTCCTCTTTTAACACACAGGTGAATCCGGTGAAGCAGCAAAGGTGAAGCCAGTCTAAGTTGGCAGGGTGAATAACTAGCCTTATCTCAGTCTTCATCTCCAGCCGCGCTCCACATCAAAGGATCTGGACAGTGTGTGCTTCCCACTTGACATTTGTTTAGAAAGGGACTTAGAGTAGAAAGGTGTGTTTTGTATTGGACAGTAGATCACTGTGGGCAGATCAAACTGTTCTGTTGACACCTTACACAAGTAAGATACAGATATCAAAGGATTGATCCACTTTTGTCAGCACAGACACAGACATCATATTTGTATTGTGAAGACATAACATCTGGCTTAGGAAAGGCCTGCAGAGCTAGCTCTGTACTGTGACTACTGTCGGGGAGAATACTGGGAGACTTAGTGAGAACTAGGATACAACTTATATTGAATTCTACTTAGGAAGTACGATTGGTAGAAATAAAACCTACAGGAAGGGAATCAGTTTACTTAATTGGTGATTTTTCTCAGTGTGGTGAGTACCAATTCTCTCTGTTGCTTAGTGACTCTAGGAGTACTAAGCTGTGAAGCTTGTAGTTTTATCTATGCACTTAAAAAGTAGTTGTAGTCAAGGAAACTATAACTCAGATTGTGTGAAAATTATTCCAGGGCTGCCTGAAGTTGATGTATTTCATTTATACTGAAGTGACCTTAGAGGTTTCTCGAAATGTTCATTTTACCTTAATTCAAGAGAATATATGTATAATAAATAGATGTCAACTCCATGGACACCAAGGTTAAGTGTCGTGACAACCCATCATTCTGCTTCATGTTTTCTACTAGAAATCCCCAGTGAATTGTTTGAGGATAAAGTATTTCAAACTAAAAACCAAAGTTAATTTTTTACCATGACAGGGCTGTCAGTTCTGAAGGCCCATCTCTAAAACTGACAACTTGATATTAGTAAGGAAATGGAAGGTTACAGCAAAATTGCATGCATGTCTGACTTAGAAAAAAAAAGATTTATTTTCTTATCTGCATCTATTACTTTGGACATGAAATCTTACCTAGGGTTTGATTGGCCTTGGAAGTGGTGTGGATTCAGATATGCACATTCAAGCCTATAAAGTTCATCTTGGGTATGTCATGAGTACACAGAGAATGAGATTTTTTAGTGTGGATCTATAAAACTTCTTGTCAATACTTTTTCTCAAAAAAAATTATTTTGCTATGCATTTATATAAGGGGAGCACAGTTATGATTTTTTCCAAAGAAATTATATGTTACATTTTCCTGCCTAATTCATTGCAGAAATTGATTTTGAGTTTTTAATCTTATTTCAATCTTCTTCCTATATCAGGCTTGTGTATGAATGATGAAATATTGCTGCTTCTAAATTTTCAAGGCTTCTCATGGACCAAGCTCTCTTTACATCAGGCAGGTAAAAGTCAGGAGGTAGTAAATCCTTATAAGCAGGTGGGAAATTTTTCAATGGACCAAGCTTAATAAGTGCTAGCTGGCTATAGTAAGCTGTCTGGTGGTCCAATACCCTGCCAGCACATGGGGAGATAATAATGGACTGTTTTCCAAATTGACCACCATCAGGTCTGGGTGGTGTACAAATGGGTCTGCTGGTCCCCTCACACCTGAGCTTAGTGTCTTTGAACAGAGGCCCAGGTAATTAGTTGTTTAGATCCGAGATCCCAGCAGTTTATTACAGCTTGTCAGGAGAGTTGATACTTTGAGATCAAGAGCTGGAAATATTTCTCTTTGTTATCCTTGTGTGTTAATTTGATGTGATTTTAATGATGCTGAAATGGTAGGAAGGAAAGAAAGGAATCAAAGTCCTCAGGCCACAATGGCTTAGAGTGGGTGTGCAGCTTGGAAGAGGTTGATTGTGCTTTCTGTTCACCGAACAGTAGGAATGGATGCGGGTACTGTGGCTGAATAGATAGGCAGCGCACTAAGGATCAAATGATTTTGCCTCCTAACAAGCCAGCTTTGTGGAGATTTCAAATCTGTTTTTTTACACTTTGAAAAGTAAACAGCATTAAAGAAACATTTAAAATAGAAGAAGTGGTTAGAAAATAGCATGCTGGTGATCTTTTGCACTGGTTTTGATATCATTAGCTATATTTACACAATGCATAATATTAGCCACTCGGGTCAACAAGATAAATTTGTTCAAGTACACCCCATCAATCTCCATCAAGCTTGTTTTTGTTGTAAAGTCAACTTTGCGTAATAGATTGGGTGTTGTGTGACAGGAAATGTATTCACGTTTCAAAAAGAAGAGAGTTGTACACTACATCACTGGCAGCAGCTTGTCAACCCAGCCTTTATGCACTGTGTGCTATAGTGGGTAAAGATATAATTCTAAAATTGAAATTTTTGTATTTTAAAAAATTTACATTTGTTTGTTGAAACATGTTTGTAGAATTGTCGTTGGTTGTTGGGATTCTGCTTCAATTTTAGTTGGGGTAACTCTGACATGCCTAGACACTGAAGAGATCAAGTGCCCTTGTATAGCTTAGTGATGGTCTTTGGTAATTTCTATTATCTGGAAGCCCATTCTATTGCTGGGAGATACTGTGGATTGTTAAGGGATTGAAATGATTACAATCTGAAAAATCAGATCCAGGGATACACAGTTTAATTAAAAATCACAAATACTTTAAGACCTGAGTTGATCAAAGAGTGCTTAAACTTCATCATCTCAGTTTGGGGTTTAGTGGTTTGTGTACCCCAGGGTAAGGTATGATAATCTGGTCCCTGATCTATCACCTTTCAACCTGTCTTGCCTTCCACATACAGTCTTCTGAGAGGTAGACACAAGTCACAGCACAACAACACTGGTCTGCAGTTACTGCCAGGAACGTGGATAGGAACAACAAATTCCCCATATCCTTGTTTAGTGACTTGCTGTTATATGATACTGATAGAGAACATGGATAATAAGTTGGTATTGTCAGTTTGCAGGTCATTGGATGTTGCTGTGATCTTAAGGAGTAAATCCTCTCAACTGTCAGTATACCTTTTTATGCCGCGTTGTCCAGGTGCACTGAGGATGCACAACTGATTGACAGCACACTCTCCGGGCCAACAGGGCGCCCCATTGGACAGCCAGTTTATTAAATTTCGAGTAGGTTTTAAACCGATTTGGACTGTCTGGATGGGAGCACTCTACAGATAGACTGGAGCACTACTTCAGAAGTGGATTTTTGTCAGTTTTATTAGTGCTGTCGATTGGATAATTTTGCAGGTCTGTAGTTTTGGTAGTGTTGAAATGTGTGTCTTGGATGGCTTTTGTTTAGTTATTGAGTGTTTTTCTACAGCAGTATTTGTACACTGTGATTGTACTTGATACCATTACATAAATTGTAAAGGGAACGTGTGATATGCCGAATGAACAGGAGGAATTACAGCAATATTTTGACAGATGGAATTTTTTTTCAAAACATGTCATGCAGAACACTTCATCAGTACAACACAGTCTTATGGCTGACATCACACTTAGAATATTGCAAAGATCGTCTGTGGACTGTGCCAGTAGCTGCTACAAAAAGGCACACAGTTCATGGTGGAATTCCACTCAGATGAAGTCAATTTCAATCGCCAATTGTTTTCAAGAAATTGCTGTTTGTAAGAGAGTATCGCATATCTTTTATGAAGAAAAACATAAATGATGCATTAATAATGTCACACCAAACATAACCTTTTTTGTTGCCAAAATGACAGACTCTGAAAATGTTTTCAAACAAAGAGCTTTGTGAAAACTTGACTTCGCAGACCCTACTCACCTTGGTAAGAATACACCCCTGCCCTTTATTTTAGAGATCACAGCTACGTTTTTCAGGCAGTGTTTGAAGCATGCCAAAAAATTAATGTGGGAAAGTAATCTGATATTATTTATTGTTATAATATAAATACGCCAATGAGAATTGGTTCAGTTCATTAATAAGATCCAAATCTGCAAATGATGACAAGCCCAAATGTTGAATACAGTGGAATACTTATAGACAATGTGCATGGAAACTCTTTCTTTTCAAGTTGAGGAGGAAAACAAAGGCGGTCGAGGTGGTTTTATGGATGATCCAGGGTAGTAAAGATACTAGAGGTTCATGTGACAGCGTATTGATTAGTTCTCACTGTGCACTTGATGGGAGAGATGGAAAGTGCTCTTGCTCTCAAGGCGGAAAGCACTTTGTTTTGAACAGTTCGCCCTTTCACAGGCAGCATCCTAATCTTGACTAACCGATGGTTGGCTGGACAGCTTAGACCTTAATCTGATATAATTGGAATTTTTGTTTGTACTGACTGAATTAAGGCTCAGTTTGGTCATATATGCTAGGATTGCTGGTCACTTTTCAGGTTTGTTATAAATAAGGTTGAAATAGACAGTTTTCTTTTTTTTTTTTTAATCCTTTAATCCAGGGAACATTTATTTGTTCTGATTTAATTATTGGACTAATTGCTCTACTTTTTCATGATTTCAGGGATGATTCCAGATGAGGTTTGGTTATGATGTTGGTGTCATCAGTGCCCAGGTCTTCCAAACATGAGCTGTGGACCTCTGTCTTGCTGTTGACGGGAATACTGTCTGCCGGGGCTGCAATCGTTGAAGGTAAGTTGGTGTCCTCTAGTATTCCTATATCATCGCAGTCTCCACAGCTGATGACAGAAGGCAGGAGAATGTACTGTAGTGAATTTTGTGGTCATTAACATAAGCAGGTATATGTCAGTTTAGACATTGGGTTACTATACTAATGTGTACCTGTAGTGTGTTTAAAAGCATATGCACACATAATGACATTATATATTGAGACAAGCATTTACACATTAAAAAAAAGGATATTCCTCCCCTCCCCCCCCCCCCCCCCGACAAAGCCATGCACAAATATGCTCACTGTTGATTATTTAACAAAAATTGTCATCTTCGCATATACTAGTAAATACCTAGCAGAACCACCTATATGGTAATCTTCAAGCAAAACTTAGCTACAAGGGCATTTACAACATAGACTTGTATGCCTCTGTGTAAACAAAAACCCCATGTTTATATTCCCCATATCTAGATCATTACTGACCATAGGGTGGATGGATTTTGCCAGTGGTTGTGTTACTTGTGTATTGTAAATGCTAGCACATTGTTGTAGTGTTGTATGCCCAAGTTAACATTCACCCTTGGCATTATACTAGAAAGCTACCGTAGCTTTAGGAATTACTCCAGATATATTGGAAAGTGTTAACAAGAGAAACAACAGGCATTTCATGCTTTTGCGCTTGGTCAGGGAGACAAATATCTGCCTGCCTTTTGAAGGAGTCCTGACTTTTGATTGTTTCTTTCTTTGTTGATATTTTGCCTTTGAAAAGGTCTCTGGACTTGGCAGTTTCAGCTGAAAGGTCATCTGACATATTCAGTTCGGCCATGCACACTTGAATAAAGTGGGCACGTGCTTGGTAATGGAATTGACCCTAGGCCATCAAAACATGCTTGATTTGTTTGTGAGGAAGAACAAGCAGAATTCCCCTTTCTCTCCATGAGATTAACTTTCAAAGGTTGTATAAATGTATAAAGGTGAAATGTGTGCATCATTGAAAAGGTTGTAAACCTTACAATATAGAAATAATACAATAGGAATTTACGTTCTACAACAGCATGGTTCTGCTACGTTGAGGATTATGTTGTATGCAAAAAGTTTTTTTCAGAGTAGGTAGATGGTCATAGAGATGGTAGAGATCTGTTTGAAAAGAAGTCCACCTTTGATTCATTTGCCTTAATTTGTGTTTGTATTGAGTTTTCTACCTGCGTGGTCCCAAATAAAAATTTGTTTGAGGAATTTTGGGGACTGGCAGTGATACCTATCTCATGTATGTGAAGGGCAGTGGAATGCATTCATTGCAATCAATTGTGTGCTTTCTGCAGATGGGCTAAAGTAAGGTGGGGCAATAAACAAGCACATGCATGATTCATGAAAACAGTCATAAATGCATTCTAAACTTTATTTGAGGGCTTAGCTAGTTGTCATCTGACTGTGGCTTTCAGTTTTCCTGCTAAGATTAAATGTTTGCAAAAAAAGTCCAACTCAAATTCTTTAAAATATGGACATGTTTGAAGAAGCTAGATTTTACCATAAAAAAGAAGGAGAGTGAGAACGATTTGTAAGTTGAAGGGATTAGGTTGATGCCATACACTATCCAAGTGGGGGAAAATTTTAATTCTCTTTAAAAAAATGAAAAGAAACTTTGCAAAACCTCTTCAGAAAAATCATGAAGTGAAAGTAAGCCATGAAACTTAAACCAGGTATTTGATATTTATCATCTGCGGCAGGTGGTATGCGGTGGCAAGCAGGCGACAATGGCCCGCACTCTGCCTCACAAAGTGGCATGTGGAACCACCACATACTTTATCAGCTTTGAAAATAGACGGTAGGAAAAAAAAGCACTAAATTCATATCAAATGTTAGGTTAAACGAAGCCACGTGAATTACTTACATATTACAAGAACAGCCTTGTTACATCAAAAGTTTCGAACAAAGACTGCAGGCCCCTGCCTTTGCACAAGGGTTGTGTTTGCTTACACAGTTCAGGTAGCAAGGTGAATTGCTCTAGTACTGCCAGGGCCCCAATACTAGTTTACTTGAGCCTTGAATGAATTGGAGGCATAGCTGTGGCAAAGCCAGCCACAATGAATGAATTATGTGGTGTCATGTCAACACATCCAGCCATTTTGAGTGGAAGTGCACTTTGACAGATTGATTCCAATTTTGTGTCTCCATGTTTAATAAAACATCAATCAGGCTAGGATCTTTGGCCTCTATGTTGCACTTTATGTAAGGAAAGTTCTCTGTAAAGGACCATTTATACTATCTATTTCTGATTAAATATACAACTGAACAATACACTGTTAACGTATTATATTCTTCAAACATGATCCATGTGCTTTATGTCAACATTTATTAAAGCTCTGGAATATATGAGGGTAACATTCACTAAATTCAAAAGTATCTATATTTTTTATGCCCAAAAGTATGTCAGTTATACTAAAAATTGTTTATTCATAAGATTTGAGAAGTAAGTGGGATTCATCTGAAAAATGATAGTGAAGAGAAAGTGTGTTGAAAAAAATTATGATTGCCATACCATGGTATTGCTTTTTTTTTTTTTTTTTTTCCTAAATGAGAATCTTGAAGTGTGCAATCGACTTTTTTTACAATAACAGCTATACTAGTGTATAAACCGTACCTGGAAAAAGCTTGTTTCATATTTTGTCACAAGTTTAAGTTAATTACACAGAAAATATAATTTTATGTCACCATTCATAAACTAAGAGGAATTTATACCTTTTCCCTGTTAGAAACTGGATGTGTCCAAGGATCCCAGGAAACCCACCTGATCAACCATAAGATCCGTGCCTGTACAGGATCATGGACAGGACATATTCATAACAGTAGTCACCTGTGTGCAGACGGTTGGCGTGTGTGTGGCTGGTACGATGAGGACATGCTGCAGACCATCAGTTGGAAGGAGGCCATGTCTATCAAGGGTTGCTATGCTTTCAATGCTGCCCAAGATGGCGGCCAGTGCTCGGAATGCAAAGATGATCTAGAACAGGTGAGAAATACTTCTGGACTTCATCTGGACTTTTTTCAGTGTATGCAAGACCCATATATTTTCCATGCAATGGCTTTTTTCTTTTGGATATTTTCACTGTACAAATTCAAACTCCATATATTTTCTATAATGATATTTCTTCAAGTCGCCAAGGAAAGTTTTGATACATGTGTGTATTCTATTGCTTTTCATTGATTAAGGTAGGGCAGATTCATGGGAGAGATGTAAATATTTATATTTTTTAGATGTTCATATTTGTTTAACTGTGTATTGCAGGATGACTTGGCAGGTATAGGGCGGGGTTGCCCTCATCAGGACCAGGGGCAGAAATCTTGTATAAATGGAGGCAAGATTGATGCAAGTTGTTGTGTTGACACATACCACAAACGAGCTTGTACTTACCAGTCTGGTTTGACCACAGGGATATTGTGTTGTAAAATGCCTGGTAGGTGGATTTTTTTTTTCTAATTTTGTGAGATACTTATTTTGATATAAATTTTAGTCAAGGCAACTCTTTTAGTAAGTTATGTATAATTTAAAATATTTCATTTTTACATTGCAATTTTTGTGAAAATATGCATATCAGTTCAGAAATTATTTAAGCACTAAAAGAGTTTATTAAGTTACATGATAAGCTCTTCTTCTGTTTCAACTGATTTGTAATGACTTCATGTAAACCAACCTCCTTAGCCAGCCAGAAACACAAGGTGAAATATAATTTCCAGTTAAATTTACCACCATGGTCTTTCTATACTGCACCAAACTAGATAAAATGAATATATATATATATATATATACCATTGTCATCTATATTATTTTAGGTGTGAGCCCCAGAATCCTGGTGCCTCCCCAGAAGAACATCACACTGCTCCAGGACCTGATTGTGGTGTTGACCTGTCAGGCTGCAGGAGTGCCCCACCCTACTATTACCTGGTTCAAGAATGGAAGGGTTGTCCAGGGATCAAAGGGGAAAGACCACTCCTTGACCATTTTGCAATCAGGTAAAATATTTCAGTTGCAATTATTGGTTTGATTTCCTGTCTTTCTGACTTCGTGAATGGTTTTAAACTTACTATAATTTCTGTAATAGACTATATGCAAACAGCATTGTGTATAAACAAATCTTCCCCTTTATATTTTTGGCAGTGTCAGGGGTGCCCATCTTGTTAACCACGTTGGATTTAAAATTGGAAATGTCATTTTGCTGCAAATTGCCTTGAGTGACCTTTGATTTTACCATGTATACTCTTCAAAATATTCACAAAACTTTTTTAAGTGAAAATTTATAAAATATTTCCATATATTTACTCATTGAAGTACTTGTACTTTACTTCTAGGCGATCTTGTTCTTCCTCTGGCCAAACCCTCAGACTCTGGGGTGTACACTTGTGTGGCTAAGAACGCAGAAGGTAGCACCAGTGCTCAAAGTGTTCTTACTGTAAATGGTAAGATATGACTAGTGTATGAAACAATTTTTGAATGTCACTGCTTGCATGTTCCAGAATTTTATGTCAAATATTTCATAAGAAGGGACAGGAACAGTAGTGTTCACTGCTGTTTAAAATGATAAATGGATACAAAGCAGTTTGTGGCACAATCACTGAAACTTGTGGTAAATGTGTTTGTTCTTTTCTCTCTAACAGAATATGACTCTGGATGTGGAGATGGCACATCCGATGCTCTTCTTCGATTCACTGATATCCATGGTTGCACAGGGTCATGGAAAGGTCACGTGAAGACGGCCGATTACCTGTGCGCCCCAGGGTGGGGTGTGTGTGACAATACAGACACAGATCTGCTCAAATGGGTGACATCTGCTGATCTGGACAAGATGAATGGGTGCTATGCTTACAATATGGCAGGATATGGGAAGAAGTGCAGGAGGTAGGGTGAACTTGTTATAAATCCATGATGATTATTTCACAGATTTGATGATTTTCAGACTAAGAACTATGAAATAAGATGTTATTTCTTTAAAGGTCCCAAATTGGCATTACTTTGGATTTCTTTGGATTTTTTTTTTAGTAAATCTATGAGTGTTCAGCTGTTAATTTTTCCACACCCCTATATTTTAGATGTGGTAGGAAGCGTATGGCAGGCATGGGAAACGGCTGCAGTAGAAGTAGCAGCCTAGACTCTGTAAATAGCTGTAATCTTAGACACAGAATCGAGGTGTATGGGCGTGGTAGCGACCCCGGCTGTGTGTACACTGAGGGCATTACAACAGGAGTCATGTGCTGTAGGAAAAGAGGCAGGAGAAAATGTGAGTTTCTTATTATTTCTTTAATTGTTGATAGCTTCTGCAAATGTTGAAAAATGCATTTGTAGTAAGAGTGCATTTATCTTAGTGTCTGATATAAAGTTAAAGGCAAACAGTGAGCTTTAGATTTTTATGTAGCAAAAGAGGGTTTTTTTTCTGAAACACTTTTCATTTAGTAGCAAATTCCTTTTGTATCTAATGCAGCTTACAGAATTAGGAAATTAGGAATTGAAAACTTTGATATATGTTCATATATCTCAATTTTCTCAAAGGTTTAAAATACATATGGATGAAGAGAAAAATTACTGTAATTTTCAGATTTTCTATGAAAACAGAGGTCCTTAGTCTAACACACATTGTACAAAGAAATAATGGCCAAACCCCAGACACTGTTTTACATTTATCACGAAAAAAAAAGAAGGTAAATGTGGTATTTATTGTATTATTTTTTATTTCAGTTGATGTCTTTAATCCCCCACCCTTTGGTTCAGAGCTCAGCTCATTATCACAGACAGAGTCTGATAATAAACAGCTACCAAGTGTGCCACAAAGTATAAACCAGGGCTCCATCAATAACAATGGTAAAGTTATATTTTTATTACTGGTTCAAGCACATTTTACTGAAAGCTAACATTAAAGATACACATTTTAAAAATTTGTCGTAAATTAATGAGGAAACATAGGAGGCTGGCAGTAATTAAAATGTTTCTTATTCATGATGGTAATATGAGTGCATTTCTGGTATTAGGTATATTTCTTAGAACATGGAAATATGCCTTCATGTGTGTGTGGGCGACTTGAGTTGCCCCTGAAAGTTTTATGACTCCTATTTAATTTCAACCTTTTCAATTTTCAGATCAGTTTTTGAAGTCAAGTATTATGTATTTTGGTGGTGAGTTATTTTGAGTATTCACTGTATAATGATAAATACACTGTGCGTTAGAATTTTTGCTTTTAATTAATGTCATGTGATCAAGTCCTGTTGAAGAAGGATTGACACATCATTTTTTAGAAACGGTTTTACCTTTTCATCATCATTATGGAAGACACAACAAAAAACTGTGTGCACCAGTTTAATAAAAATTGAATGGACTTATTTCTGTACCATTTCCAGAGGACTGCAGTACATATTGTGGAGAGAATGGCTACTGTATTTTGCCAGGCATCTGTGGTTGTAACCGTGGTTACCATGGACCAAGATGTCAGCACAGACGTCAACCAAGACATCGCTGTCACACTCTGCACTGCTTTAATGGCGGCCGGTGCCGGAGGGGGAAGTGTAAATGCCCTGCAGGGTACTGGGGGAAAAGGTGCCATAAATGTAAGTTTTATTTTTTTGTGCATTATATGGAGAAACATTTAAGGCACACAATGAGCAAGAATTTTAAATCTAGGAAATTTCAACATTTCCTTAATTACCAGGTCATACTATATCCAAAACTGGTTACAGATTAAAGATCCATAAAAGGTTTTTGATTTTTTGGTTTTTGAAGTGAAGCTGGAGGCTGTTGAATTTCCCTTGTAAAAAAAGTCTAGGACCCTAAAACGGATTTACAGATTCTACATAAAGATTTTATGTACATTGATGCCTTTGTACAAAAGTTAAAAAAATTTTTTTAAGCTTGCTATAACTATTCCCATTAATGTGTATGTCTCACTGAGATTTATTAGTCTTGCTGGTGGTACAGCACAAGGAGGCAACCATCACTTCTCTTTACCTTTAGTAATAAAATGACTGATGATTCTTTATAATATCTCATTTTTTACCTTTTACAGTGGCCATCTTTGGAGACAGGAAGAAACACGAAAGAAGAAAGAATAAAAGAAAAACAAAATCAAGAACAAAATGTGTGAAGCACCTTTTCAGGCATTTTAAATTGAAATGAATGCAGGGTATTTCAGTTTTATCACATTGTGCAATAATGTAATGCAAATTACTCACAAAATCAATACAATTTAATTTATAAAAGGAATGCAATTTAAGTTGCAGGTTCAGCATGAAAACTATAAGGGACTGCCATTAATTGTACATAGATGGGTTCAATCAAGCAGTCCAAGTACTGCTTCATGCATCAATGTCTGTTAAGAGGAAGCAATTAAGTAACTTGTTTATAATCCATATTTATATACCTAGAATCTGTGCAATTATAGAACAGCTAAGACAGTATTTGGTAACATTGAAATCTCTTCAGGAAAAGCTAGCATATCCACAGTAATAGCCAAGTGCAGGAATACGACAGGTGTTGATAATAAAACATGCACAAAGTTTATCATAAAGCCTAGTTTTGAGGGAATATTATAACATTTTTACACAGAGATATGTATTAGAGATCTTTAACAAGAGGTACTTATAAAATCAGCTGTCATGTGTTCATTTTGTATATATGTGTATATACTTTTTAGTGCAAAGTACTTCAGCTAGTTTTTATAATGGGGGGCAGCAGTTGCCAGTCTCTTGCCAAAATATGGGCTTCATTAGTTTCTTTTACTTTGTGTATCAGAATATCAAAATCTGAAAGCTTTCATTTAAAATGACTGAATGCCACATGCTACTTCAGTTGTAACACATAACAATTAGGAAAAAATCACTTAAAGAATATACAAGGTTTAATACATGGGTGCTAACCAAATAATTGTATGCTGATAATATTACATGCCTCTCTGTTGAAAATTTCCATATTTATTTGTTTGAGTTTGCAACAACATGTTCCTTTCATACAAATTTTGTTTTAAAAAATTACCTTTTTGTTCTGTAAGTGTAAATTGCAATATTTATAGGAGTTCAAAAAATGGAAGATAGCTTATTTGTTTTTATTCAGTATTCCTGCTTCAGTCTTAGATATATAAAATCTTTTTCCCTAGAGGAAACCCACTGTATGTAAATATATATGTATATTTTGTATAGAACTCTGAGATTATTTTTGAAACCATGTATATATGTATGTCTTTGTCAGTATTATATGTACCTGTATCCATGACATGTAAACTACAGCAAACGTTAGTCATAAGAATCACCCTAATACACAGTATTTTATCACAATGATTATTAATTGTGTTTATTAATTTAATAAAAATGATTTTGATTAACATTTGGAAGTTTTCTTTTGTTCTCCAGCTTTTAAGAGTAGTTAATCGTAATGAGTTACTTATTGAGTAGTTTTGATGAAAAGGCAGGCAATAAGTACATTTTGATGAAAGGCAATGAACACAGGCTTCCTTAGATTTATACCATAATACTGAATATAGAAAATACAGAATCATTGTTACAACACCCCATGAAGAAAAGATGGAATTGACAAATACTTTTTTGCCAAGAAGTGGAATATGGTGTAGTAAACGTACTAAAATACAGTAGGTGCATCTGATGGATGGAACAACGTCTGTCACTTTTATCCTCCGCCTCAAAAATATGTTAAATCTCTTTGTATGAAGTTCTAATCATTAGCAGATTTTTAAAAAAAAATAAAAGTAAGTGTTATCCAACAGATTAAAGAAACTCGTATTTAAGTTAACAAATAGTCTCATTGGTGGAAAAATCCCACACCCAACATAAAATTGCGATAAAAGAATCGACCACAACAGCCTGTCACAGTTGGTGCAGTTGAAATATCCACGCTAACTGCC